GGCAGCTGGGGTGCCCTGCACCCCGAAGTCTGGGAGGCCAAGGAAGAGCTCTCCTTGTCCCACTGGGGCAGTGGGGTGCTGCATTCCCCTCTCCCACACGGGTTGTTTACATGAGGTGGGGTTTTCATCCAAAGAAGGGTCCGGGCTCGCTGGAGTCCCCGAGAGGAGCCCTCTGTCACCGCACGGGTGATTGCCGATGCTGCCGGGTCACCTCGCTCCGCTAGAGAAGCGCCTGCCCCCGCCGTTCCTCAGCTGTGTGATGTGTCTGTGGTGTTAGTGGGACCATGTTGAAGTGTCCTTTGTCCTGTGCTGTGGAACTGTGCATTCGCTGGAAAAGCCAGCAGGGATCCAAGGACCCCCAGAGTGATGGCAGGGCTGGGCTGGGGCAGCCGGGGGGGCTCAGGGCGATGCTGCCCRGGCTCCTGGCGTGGGGGCCTCCAGCAGCTGAGCCTGGAACCCAAACATTCTGCTTTCCTTCAGAGAAATTGTTGTGATGTTGGAGAGGGACTTTGGCACGGGTGTGTGGTGCCAGGACACAGGGAATGGYTTCCCAGTGCCAGAGGGCAGGGATGGATGGGATATTGGGMAGGAATTGTTCCCTGKGAGGGTGGGCAGGCCCTGGCACAGGGTGCCCAGAGAAGCTGTGGCTGCCCCTGGATCYCTGRCAGTGTCCAAGGCCAGGCTGGACATTGGGRCTGGGAGCGGCCTGGGATGGTGGAAGGAATGCTCCTGCTTTGTGTGGCTGCTGGGGGTACAAAGTCACTTTATGGCTGGACACAGACAGATCCAAGAGGGTTTTGTCTGGATCTGTGCAGCGAATCTCTCGCTCCTCGGAGCCAAGTGCACATGAGAAAGCTCTGAACCTCCCAAGTGTGCCTGGGGCTTGGACTTATTGTCTACCTGTGAAAGGGGGCCAGTCTCAGAGTTTTTATKTTTTGTGGGTTTGGCCTTTTTTTCCATTTCCTTTCTCTGATGTCTACCTAGGAGAATGGGCAGTAGGCACAATGTTGAATCAATGTAAGTTTTAAAGTAAATATATATAAGAAAGACTAATATTTATACAAACACTTTACTCATTCTGTTTCTTCTGGTTTTTTCAGCGCAGCCAGGTCCCTGCAGTTCCTCAGTGTGAAAACTCAATAGCTTCAACCCGTTTTGAAACATTGTGAACATTTGAAATGTTTTTATACAGCCACCCTAGCCAGAAGACAGGATTTGTTTCTCTGGGCAGCTCATTTTGTATCTTTAGATGAAAGGTAATTTAACTAATCAGCTACAGAGAAACCTTGACACGAAAAAAAGTTGCATTTTCTTGGCTTTCCAGTGAACGCCCTGTTGCTGAAGAGCTTGATTTTGACAATGTTCTTTTCAGCGTTTAGTTGTTTATTTAAAACGCGTCTCAGTCTGAGGGATACATCGATAACCTTTGCCAAAGTCAAATAAGGATCAATGGAAAATAATTTCTCTCTGTGGCTGTCCACAGCAAGAGGAAAAATATTTGGTATGTGAGGAGCTACAGGGGGCTGAGGACACAGCTCCAACAGGCAGCTGAGGGTGGCAGCAGGTGGAATGTCCTCCTTGGGGACTCACCCAAACAYATTGACAGCAACTTTGGCAAAGGCAAACTCTGAATTCTGCTCCTTGACTGCCCAGACCCAGCTCACAGTTGGATCAAGATGTGCTACCAGTCTATTCCATGCTCAGAATCAGTGTAAAATTACAATTTTTTTTTTTTTTTCAAGTGATGGTCTAGCACCTCTCTCTTTGAGATGTTAAAGCTGCCCATGCAAGTTGCYAAAAACACTTGTTAGATTTTAGGAAATGTCTCAAGAAATTGCCTTCAAACAAAACCCTGATTTTAATAAATTGGCATTTTTGCAGTCATTCCCCTGAACAAAAATAGTTCAATTTCTAGGTGATTTTTTTTTCCTTCACTATTTTTCCTCTTATTTTATCAGAGGAAAGGGGGAAAACAAGGAGAAGTGAGGAAGAARATAAAGARGTTTAGRTTCACCTACCGTACATTGCCTTGCRGAAACCTCTGATTATTTTACTCCAYRTTTGCTTCAGTGSTTTGGTTTTGTGTGGTTTTTGTTTTGTTTTCCATGGAGAAAACCTTTTACTGGGCAATTTGGAGTGGCAGTGTTGGACATTGATGGGGATGTTGGATTTGGGAGCCTCCTCATGTTGAACACCAGGAGAGTTAATTTAAAACCTTTAATTACTTTAACCATGTCAGCATTGCTGTGTGCAGGGTGGGAATGTTTTGAGRTTTGGGGTCCTTCAGGGCTGGATTTGGGACAGGTTTATTATGGGATGAGGTTCCATTGCCATAAATAGGGAGCAGCTCCCATGAATGTATCCCGTGTGGGTGAGGCACCGATGATAAGGGAATCACTGGCCAAAAAAAGGAGGTTTCCAGCTGGTTTCCAGTACAGTGAATCCTCTGTGGGTTCACTGAGAAACCAAAACTCAGTGAAAAGAGCCAAGCAGCCCTTGTCTGCCTCCTGGGCACCACCACAAGGACACAGAGCAGCTGCAGGACATCCCAGTGCTCCCTGTTTCCTGGGGCTGGATGTACTGGTCAGCCTCCTCCAGCTGGGGCTCTGTATCACTGTTAAATAGAGGTCTCTAAAAGGCTCTGATTTACTGATCGTGCTTTCAGATGACCCGAGCGGATAGGGACAGTCCTCCAAAGCACAGGGACTTCGGCTTGTTGGGAATTTGCAGGTGTTCCTTGATTCCCACAGAGCCTCCATGGCCATGCCAGGTGGAAACTGGACCTGCCTGGAGAGGGCTGGGGTGTTTGGTTGGGAAGAATTCCCTGTCCTCACCCTGTCCTCACCCTGTCCTTATCCTGTCCTCACCCTGTCCTCACCCTGTCCTCACCCTGGCCCAGATTCTGTCGCTGTATCTTCAAACACCAATCTTTGCAAACAGCTTTTGACAAATGATGAAGGGTCAGAGCCGGGCTGTGTTCAGATTCCTGTCACTTCTGGACTCTACAGGAGCTGTTGTGGATCCACAGCAGCAGAAATGGGCAGAAAACTGRTCCTGAGTAATTCCCGGTGGTGTCCAAGCAGCCCTGAGCCGATGGCAGGGATCAGCACWGCCAGGGAATGAATCCACTGCTTGTTTGTTGATTTATTTGCAGGTTTCTGAGTGCCTTTGGTTTTCCCACCACGAGCTGGTGGCCAGCAGAATGTAGATGTGAAAAGCTTTCTGTGCTGGTGCTTGGCTGGTTGAGGTGAGGGGACGAGGATGGTGAGGAGGAGAAGGAAGGAGAAAATATTCCTGAAACACTCTGTGACAAGGCCAGGGCCACCATGGGCTGGGACACAACCACAGCTGCCCTGAGGTCTGCGGAGATGTGCCAGGGTTGGGGGCAGCTTGTGCATTTAGAACAAGCTCTTGTCCTTATCCCGGCATGAGAAATTGAAAAAAAAAAAAAACCACAAAACTTCCCCTATTGAAAAGTACAGGCTTCACCAACAAAGCTGCTTAGGTTCATTTTGTGGTTTTGTTTTCTTTTTTCTTCTCCACTTGATCAGTTTGGGACTCTGGGCAGTGAAAATGCCTCTCTTTAGCCAGCTTCATGTCAGAAACCAGCAGTGAAGACCTCAAGGGCCTCAGTGCTGATGTGGCAGCCCCGCTCTGTCCATATCAGAGTTTTAACTGAACCTCCAATGAMCCCCAAGGAACCATTACTGTTCTCTTCAGGTGATGAAGCACCTCTTGCTTGTAAAAAGCATCAAATTTGGGGTGGGGGGACCTTTCAAAAAGCCATTGGTGATCACTTGTGTTGGTGTGTCCTGAGCAGCATCGAGACTCACGTCATGGTTAACGATCAATTAACGGCTCACTCTGAATCCTCAGGAGTAATTGTTGAATGCTCATGGTATTCCCGTGTAATTCCTCTCGTCATGCCCAGCCTTCCCTCGTGGTGAGGTGAGGGACCGTTTGTACCTCTTCTGCTCTCAGTGCTGCTGCAAAATCCCCACAAACCACCCTTCCTGCTGTCCCTAAAATCCCGAGGACGCAGCGTCCCCATTCCCACTGGGAAGCTGCAATACAGAGCATGATGGGGAGAAAATGGGATTTTCAGCAGGGAAGACCCAAGTCAGACAGGTGGTCCGAAGTCCCTGACTCTGAGGGGTGTGAGGAAGTTGTCTCCAGCTCCAAGGGTAACAGTTGCCTTCCCAAATCCCATTTGCCAGGGGTGGCTGTGTCCATTCCCAGGTTATCCCTTCCCAAAGTGAGGATGCTGCAGTGGGTGGGATGTCTGACAGCCCCCGGAGTCTGTGGGTGCTGAAACCACGAGCACAGCTCTATGGCCTTCCTGCAGGCCCTGGGAGCTGGGAACAGCTGGCTTGTCCCAGGAAAAGCTTTTTGTCCAGATGGGCAGT